ATTTATTCACTTTGTAATTGATATTTATTCACTTTATAATTGATATTTATTCACTTTATAAATTGCTGCTGAGTCCATGGGGTCAGGCAGGTGAGGCTGGTCCTGGGTGAGGGATTCCCAGGAGCTGCTCCTGCTGGGAGGCTCTGCAGGATCCCTCAGCTTTGGATGTTTTGGGTGGTTTTTTGGGGTTGGGTTTTGGGGTTTTTGTGGGTTTTTTGTTGTTGTTTTTACGGCTTGTTTTTTTGTTTTGTTTGTTTTTTGTTGTTGTTTTGGGGGTTTTTTTGTTTTGTTTTTGGTTTGGTTTTCTTTGTTGTTTCTTTTTTGGGATTTGTTGTTTATTGTTTTGGTGGTTTTTTGTTTGTTTTGGGTTTTTTGGGGGGGTTTTTTTGTTGTTTTGGGGGGTTTTGGGGCTTTTTTGTGTTTGGGTTCTTTTGGTTTTGTTTTTGTTGGATTTTTTTGTTTTGGTTTTGTTTTGTTTTGTTTTTTGTCGTCGTTTTGGGGGTGTTTTTGTTGCTTTTTGTACAAGAAGCTGACTGCAAACATTCCAGATTCCCTGCAGCTCAGCTGGTAATTTTGGAGAGGAGGCAGATCCCACCTCACAAGGTAGCCCTGCCCAGCAGGAATTACTGCAGAGAAAGACCCCAAAATCCCAAATCCTCTCGTCCCCCTCTCCACAAGAGTTTCCCGACCGACTCAGGAGGAATCAGTTCCAGCTGATGGCCTGGGGCTCGTCCCAAGCACTCCCAGCTCCCCCAGCGCCTCCCTGGCTGCTGGAGATGAGCTGCAGATGTTGGGGTGATGCACAACATCTGGACTGGGCAGTGCTGGAGCAGCCTCCACAGCCTTTGAACCAGGCAGCACCAACAGGATTTGGTGATTTTTGCATTTCCTCATTTCAGGAGATGCTGGGAGGGCTCAGAGCTGCCCAGAGGATGAGGAAGGGTTTGGTACCTGCCAGGGCTGAGGTACAGCCACCTCCAGCAAATAAATAACTGCAGAGGAGACTCTGGTGGGCAAAGAGGAGAATTACCTGATTATTAATTGTATTTTTATTAAAAACAGTGACCCAGGGACCTGGCAGCAGACAGGAGGAGCAGGTGAGGTGATGTCCCCCAGTTCCTGGTGCCCTGCAGCAGGTGGGGATGCTCTGTTCAGGACAGACCATAATCCTGATTTCCTGCCTGGGAGGAGCACGTGGAACACCGAGCTCTGCTCACATCAGACAATAGACGGGACCTCCTGCTTCCCCCAGCCTCAGGAAATGCCAGAATGCTGCTGCTTCCTGCCGTGGAGCCTCAGCTGCTGCTGCTGCTGCTGGCTTTGGGATGGGCTGGAGAGCCACTGACACCAGCCAGGCTCCAGAGCTGCTGCCAGGGAGCCATGGAAGGGGTTTGGGATGGAAAGGGGCTTAAAGCTCATCTCACTGCATCTCCTGCCATGGCAGGGACACCTCCCACTGTCCCAGGGGGCTCCAGCCTGGCCTTGGGCACTGCCAGGGATCCAGGGGCAGCTTCCAGGCCCTGCCCACCCTCACAGGGAACAATTCCTTCCCAATATCCCATCTAAATCTCCTTTCCGGCAGTGTGAAGCCATTCCCAGTATCCTGTCCCTCCATCCCATGTAAATCCTCCTTGTAAATCCTCTCTCTCCATCCTTCCTGCAGCTCTCTCAGGAAGGTCACAATTGTCACCCCAAAGCTCCTCCTGTCCAGGTGAACAACCCCAGCTCTGCCAGCAGAGCTGCCCCATCCCTCTGCTCATCCTGGAACTCTCCTTTGACAGTTCCTTTCCCATCCCTCCCGTTCCATGGTTGGCTTATCCCCCTCCTCCCCAGATCCCACAGGGGAGACCCCAAACCTTGATCCTGGGCCAGACACCCCAAATGTTGATCCTGGGCCAGACACCCCAAGTGTTGATCCTGGGCCAGGCTCCTGCTCCAGAGCTGAGCTGCAGCTCATGCCCAACACCAAAGCTGAGCTTTAGGGGTAACCCTGGCTTTACCACCCGTCTCCTTCCCCACTGCTTTTCCATTCCAGCTCAGTGGGTGGAGGAGCAGCAGGATCTGATCCTTATTCAGATTGGTCCCACCCTGGAGAAAGCAATAAACCTTCCCCTGAGCAGAGCAGGGAGCTCTCAGCATCTCCTGCACGAAGCTGAGAGCAATAATAATTAGCAGGATTTATTTCATTTGAAATGCCCACTGCTCCCAGCCAGGCTGCACAGGCAATTAACAGCCCAGAACAGACACGAGATGCTGCTCAGAATTCATGGACAGCATTAATAAGATGATTTATGAGTGTGATTTCTGCCCAGAGAAAATGTGCAGGTGCTCGTTGCTGTCTGCCTGTCCTCCCTTCCTGTCTTCTTCTCCCACCCCACCACTGGAGGGAAAAAAATACTTTTCCAAGAGTCCAGAAACACTCAGAAAACCCCACATATTTCTTTTGAAAGTGTCACTTTTAACAATTCTTTTCAGTCCTCAGGGCAGCGCAGAGGAAGAACGAAACCAGCTCCAGAATTTCAGTCAAACTCCCCCCAAATGGGAACACAGAGGACAAAAACTGCCCATGCTAAAAAAGTAAAAAATCTGCAGCTTGGGCTGATTCTGGCACCCTTAAATCCCTGCCAGTGGGAGAAACCTGTGGGAAAATGGATAATTTGGGCTGGAATACCAAAACCACCTTGAAAATATCTTCAAATATATTGAAGAACTGCAGCATGAGGTGGGGAAGCGCTAAAGCAGTGGGTGAGGGCTTGTAAAAAGTCTCATGTGGAGGACTTCTGGCAAGAAACCAAAAAAATCCTTCTCAACATGAGCATGGCTGGGTTTGGGAAAGGATTACATGTGCAGCACCCAGGAATGAGCTCAGAAATGCCCTCTTGCCCTGTGTCCCTGGCATCTGGCACAGCTGGAAGGATTCCTGCAGTGCTGGCTGGGTTTTTTGTGGATTTTTATGTGGATTTTGTGTTCCCTGTGCCAGGACCTGGTTATGGTGTTTGGACAGCCTGGCCTGGGGGTTTCACACCCTGCAGGGACACAGGGGACAGGGATGGCATCAATGCAGGCAGGGCTGGAGCTTTGTCTATCACACACGGGGCAAGGAGGCTCTTCAGGCATTGCTGGGATGGATCTGGGTGGCTCTGCCCCCTCCCCTGAGCCCCAGGGAGCAGCCAGGCCATTGTCACCTCCCAGAGGACACAGAGCTGTGTCTGGAACCTTTCTGGGGAATTGCCAAGCCCTGAATTAACCAAGCTGCTGGCTAATTAATATTAGAGTGCTGTAATGTTGTTGGAACATCTGAAGTGCAATGTTTGTGGCGTCACTGATGCCTGGTTTTAAATCCCAGGTGATGCAGGGTCCTGTGTGTCCCTTCCCAAAACATCACACAGGGCATTTAGAAGGCTTTAATGTCAATCTCGTTTTTTAGGAGCATTTTTTCTTGAAGGGCAGAGAGGTACAGACACCTGAGCCTGCCAGGGCCAGGGAGCCCCAAAAAAGCCCCAGGTGTGATTGTGGCTGGAAGCTCTGGGACAGCTTGGACTTTTCTTGAAGGTGATTCTTTCAATGAGCATCTGGGAGCTGGAAATACTCTGCCAGGTTTTTGGGACATTTTTTTAAAGCAAGGATGGGGAAAGATGACAAGCAGCCCAAGGTTTTAGTGAATGATGTGTCAGGGAACTCATCGCTAAAATCAGATGTTCTGAACGAGGCAGCCCGCGCTGGGTTTTGCTGGAATTATCCTTCAGGATGGAGCGTGGAACCCCCCCTGTCCCTGTGCCCCGGCTGCGCGCTGGGACCTGGATTTGGGGCAAAACCCGTGCGGTTCGGGTCCGTGCGGGGCAGCGCGATGGCTCCGGCTGCACCGCCGGGGGGGTCCCCTAGGTGTCCCCATTCCAACGGGATTCCAGCCGGCTTTCCATGTCCCCATTCCAACGGGATTCCAGCCGGTTTATGTCCCCATTCCATTTGGGATTCCAGCCGGTTTATGTCCCCATTCCAACGGGATTCCAGCCGGCTCTCCAGAGGCTTTGAGCCGCCTCCATGGGGAGGATGCGATGTCCCAGCGGACACCGCTGGGTCCCATCCCCGAAGCAGCCGCGGTGCGGGGTCCCCGCAGTTCCCGCAGTTCCCGGAGGCTGGAATCGCCGGGTCCGGCTGTTATCCCGGGCCAGGGGGAGCGGGATCGCGGCTCTGCTGCCCGGGCACGGCGGGATTCGGGTTTTCCGTGCGGGGCCGGGCCGGGCCGGGCCGGGGCCATCCCTCCTTCCCCGCCCGTCTGGCCGGGGTTGGCTTTCCTTGGCTCGGGATTGCGATCCCCAGGCTGGCTCCGCGGAGGGGCCGAGCCGAGCCGGGCCGTACCCGGGCTGAACCGTGCCACGACGACTGGGCAGAGCCTACCCTAGCTGAGCCGTGCCGGTCAGGGCGGACCTTGACCCGGCTGCGCAGGGCCGGGCCAGGGCAGAGCCGCGCCCGGGATGAACCGTGACAGTCTGGGCCGTGCCCTGTCTGTGACGTGCCCAGACCGAGCCGAGCCGTGCGGGGCGGTGCCGTGTCTGGACCGTGCCCTGTCTGTGCCGTGCCATACCCAGACCGAGCCGGGCCGTGCGGGACAGTAACGTACCCAGACCGAGCCCTGTCTGTACCGTGCCATTCCTGGACCGAGCCGTGCCGTGCCCTGTCTGTACCGTGCCATACCCGGGCCGAGCCGAGCCGTGCGGGGCCTTGCCCTGTCTGTGCCATACCCGGACTGTGCCCTGTCTGTACCGTGCCATACCCGGGCCGGGCCGTGCGGAGCGGTGCCGTACCCAGACCGTGCCCTGTCTGTACCGTGCCATACCCGGGCCGAGCCGAGCCGTGCGGGGCGGTGCCGGCCGGGCGGGCGGAGGGCTCTGCCGGCCAATGGCTCGGTCGCGGCAGCCCAGCCCAGCCCAGCAGGTGGAGCGGCTCCGGCTCCATGTGCGCGGCTGGAGGCGGCCCCGGTGCCGGTCCCGCCTCGCCGCTCCCCGGGCGCGCAGCGAGCGAGCGGCTCCGTCCTGCCGGGGCGGCGGCTCCGCGGCTCCGGGGCCGCTCTCCGGGATGGCTTTCGCCAATTTCCGCCGCATCCTGCGCCTCTCCGCCTTCGAGAAGCGCCGCTCCAGGGAATACGAGCACGTCCGCCGCGACCTGGACCCCGGCGAGGTGTGGGAGGTGGTGGGCGAGCTGGGAGATGGAGCCTTCGGCAAAGTCTACAAGGTGAGAGCTCCGGGGGCTCCGGGAGCAGCCGCGGGGCCGCCGCCGGGGCTCGAAGCGGCTCCGGCACGGCGGGGCCGGCTCCGCATCCCGTTAGCCGGGATGGGCACGGCTGGGCTGGGCTGGGATCGCAGCGCTCCGGGGAGGAAGGGGAAAGGAGGGTGAAAAGCTTCCTGCTTTTTTTATTTCTTGCCTTTTTTCACTTTTTTTTTTTACTTTTTTTGTGAGTTTTGGGGTGTTTTTTTGGTTTTTGGTGGGTTTTTTTGTTTGTTTCTGTTTTTTTGGTTTTGTTTTCGTGTTTTGTTTCGGTTTTGGTTATTTTTGTTTTGTTTTTGTTGTTGTTGGTTTTGAGATTTTTTTTTTATTTTGTTTTTTGGGTTTTTTTGTCGCCCCGAATCGCCCCCTTTTCCGAGCGATGCTTTTGTGAGCAGCCCCCGGCGCTCCCTGCCAAGCCCGCCGGTGCAATGAATGGAGGGAGGGAGGGAGGTTTCTTGGAAGTCGGCGCTTCCAGGGCTGTCTCCAAGTGTTTCCCGAGTCCCCGGGGCTGACAGGGGATTTGTATCCCCGCCGCTGCTGCCGGCAGGGAAAGCTCGGGAGGGCCGAGAGGAGCCGGCTCCGTGCTGTGAATGTTTAACCCCGGCTTTAGGGACGGGGGTTTGGAGGAGCAAAGATCCCCCGGACTTTGCTCTCCAAAGCTGCGCTGTCCCTGCTGTGTCCTGGCAGGGGATGGGTTTGGGGTGCAGGAGCAGCCCCGGGACCCGCAGGACCCTAACCCTGAACACACCTGTGTGACAGGAGCCGCTCGGAATGGGGATGGCAATGGGAATCGCCTCTCGGGCAGCCGGGGCTGGATGGCCTCCTTAGATCGCCTGAGAAGGTATTGCCTGTGGAAAAATGAGAAATAAACAGGGCAGGCAGGGAGGCAGGTGACTGCGGGTCAGGACGGGGGGATTTGGTGTTTATTTCTCATCTCTGTCATGGTATTTGACAGAAACTCCAAAAAACTGAGTGCTAAACACCCATTGAGTGGAACTTTTTAGTGAAGGGTCCTATCTTCTAATCAAACACAGTTCCTAAAAATGATATTTAAATCCCTTCTCCATTTATCCTTCCGAAAGCAGCATCAGTGGAAATTCTGTTGCCATTCTGCTCTGTGAGGTGCATTGGAGACACGTTTGTGTGTAGCAACACTCACTCGTGGATGATTCCGTGCTTTTATTTGCTCGGGTTTCTCAAACAGTGACAGGAGCCAGGTAAACAGTGTAAAATAACTTCAGTGGCCTCTGAGAGAAAGGAAAATTTAAATAATTATTTAAATGCTTTCTATTTAAAACATGTATAATGTACCCAAAGTAGGTGACTTAGAGAATAAAGCTGCTTTAGAGGTGGCTGGTTTGGTTTTCAGCCTGAATGCCTCAGTTATTAACCCCAGCCTCACAAGAAAAGCATTGTCAGAGTAACTTTATTACTGTAGGTAAAGATTGTCAGCCTGTCAGGCAATAACAGCTCATCTCCAGCTTCTTTCATCCCCATTTTGACACAAATGAGAATGAAAATGTCCCAGTGGACATCGTGTGTTTACAACCAGAAGTTGTAAACCTTCTGGAATATTCAGGCAAATTTTTGCTTTTGTGGAGTTTTAACCCTGTAAGGCAGGGTGAGGTTTAACATCGTGCCAGAAAGCAAAGGGTTACTTTATTGTATTTAGCAACATTTTACTTCACCATTGCTTTGATCTCTTCTCCACCTGCTCTCCATTCCATCTGGCAAAAGGTCGTGGCTGGATTTTGAATTCTCATCCAAGAGTTTGTTCATTTAAGAACTTCAAATTATTTGGGGGTGCTGTGCTATAAATCCTTATTTTAGGACCACAAATCCTTATTTTATAATGATTAACAATCCTTATAAATCCTTATTTTAGGATTAATAACCAGAGACATTTTCCTTTCACCTAAAGTGGTTTTTTTGTTGTTTCTTTTTGCTTTTTTATATCTGGGGTGGGGATGAGTGTAAGGTGGGATGTGAAAGAAGGGGCTTGCCCTCTTGTGCTGCTCAGATGCCAAAAAAGCAGCTTAAAACCCACCACAAAATCAGCTGAATAACCCACCAAAAATTGCAGAATAACCCCCCAAAAATTGCAGAATAACCCACCAAAACCCCAGCAGCTGAATAACCCCCCTGTGCTCCAGGAGAGCGGCGGCACCCAAAATTCAGCGAACAGCTTGAATCATTCTCTTGATCCTAAAATCAATTTAATTTTCCCACTAAAGGCACTGCCTGGAGCGAGGCTGAGTGTCTGCAGGGCCCTGAGGTTTCCAGGATGTTGGAGTGAGTTCCTGCCCATTTTCCAGCCCTTTTCCACGCCCGGAAGCGTGGGGAGGTGACGGAATCCTGAGCTGCATCCTGCCCCGTGTGCCATCTGCTGTGTCCCCTTGGAAAGGGCTGAGCAGGGCTTTGTTCTCTGGGCACTCAGACCTGGCACAGGCTGAGGTGTGGAGAGATGGAAACACGGGCTGGGTTCGGGAGGATTTGGGTTTATGGGGCTGGGTGTGAGCAGGGCTCGGGGATTTGGGGTATTCCTGCCCTGTGGGATCCTGTCTGGAGCTCACACAAAGCTGAGCTGGCTTCTCACAGTGGTTCCAAAAGTAGGACAGGCTGCATTTAAATACTCATTAATTAAAAAGAATGAAATTTATAGTGGAGTCTGGATCCTACGCGGCAGACCTAAAAAACCTGCGGCCAGCAGAAACTGGGCCTGGGATTTCCCTGTTTTTATAGAAAGTCTTTCTGCAGCAAAAGAGGATCTGCCTGCATGAGGAACCAGTTGAACAGAGGGCAATGAAGCTGAAAAGTACGAGGGGGTGGGGAGGAAATGTTCCTTTCTAGCTCCTATTCTGTGAATGCCGTGGCCTTGGCAAGGCCAGGGGTGCACTGAGGACAGGGTGGCAGCCCAAAGGTGACCAAGCTTTGGCACCACCTCATCCAAAGCTTGTTAAATGGATGACCCTAAATCCGATAGTCAGGATCTGTGGTCAGTGGGAAGGCTCCAGCCCACCCAGGGTTGGGGTCTGTAAAGTTCCTCAGACTTCCCAAGCTGCCTTAGAAGAAAAACAGAGTTACTTTCCTGGAAAGACACCTAAAATACTGCTTATAAACCCAGAGGATCTGTGCTGCCACTTCAGAAAAGAAAAAAGCAGAGTTATTTTCCTGGAAAAACATCTAAGATAGCACCCATAAACCCAGAGGATCTGTGCTGCCACTTCGGAAAAGACAAGAAAAGAGAAAAAAGCAGAGTTATTCTGGGAAAACACCTAAGGTAGCACCCATAAACCCAGAGGATCTGTGCTGCCACTCCAGAGCTGGCATTGTTGGAGGCACAAGCGGCAGTGGCAACCCCTGGGCTCTCAGGGAAGATGCTCAGGGTGGAACCAGCAGTGCAGGAGCCCCTGCATCTCCTCTCAGCCCTGCAAACCGAGCATTCCCTGCCCTGTTAATGCCCCCAGGAAGGGATAACCCCACGTTAATGCCCCCAGGAAGGGATAACCCCATGTTAATGCCCCCAGGAGGGGATGCCCATGTGGGCATGGAGAGCTCCCAGCTTGCAAGGGCTCCTCTGGCTGCTGGGGCATGGCCTGAGCCCCCCCTGCCTTTCCCTGGGGATTGTTTTGGGGCCTGAGCCCCCCTGCCTTTCTCCTGGGGATTGTTTTGGGGCCAGAGCCCCCCCTGCCTTTCTCCTGGGGATTGTTTTGGGGCCAGAGCCCCCCCTGCCTTTCCCTGGGGATTGTTTTGGGGCCTGAGCCCCCCCTGCCTTTCTCCTGGGGATTGTTTTGGGGCCTGAGCCCCCCCTGCCTTTCTCCTGGGGATTGTTTTGGGGCCAGAGCCCCCCCTGCCTTTCTCCTGGGGATTGTTTTGGTGCTCCTGAGCAGCGCTATCTGCCCTGCCCAGCGCTGCCCATGGGGACAGTGGCTCCGATAAGGCAGGGTGGGGACAGGCTGCCCTGGGGGGTTATTCACTGCATCCCTGCAAATCGCCTGCACACAGCTCCATCCCCGCTCAGCAGCGCCTCTTTTGTGCCCTGGGTGTCCTCTCCCCTCCAAAAAAAGGCCAGTTTGGGTTATCTGATGTGCTGAGTGCTATCGGTGCTGTGCATGCTGCAGGCTGGAAATGCGGCTTTGAAAAGGGGGTCATGAAAGGCTGATTGTTGGGTGGTGCAGCTGCAGCAGCAGCACTGGGGCTGTTTGTGGGCACCAGGGTGGCCCTGGCACCACAGACCTCCCTGCTCATCACCCCAGCCTGCAGCACTCGCGGTTGGCTCAGTGATCCAGGCTCAGCTCTTGGTTTGATCCATAAGGGAGCAGGGCTAGGTGGGATTTTGGGAAGGGATTGTTCCCAGAGCAGCTGTGGCTGCCCCTGGATCCCTGGCAGTGCCCAAGGGACACCTGGATGGGGCTTGGAGCCACCTGGGCTAGTGCAAAGTGTCCCTGCCCAGGGCAACAAAATGAGCTTTAAGGTCCCTTCCAGCCCAAATCGTTCTGTGATTCTGCACTTTAATTCCTGGAAAGGGTGTCACAGAGATGTTAATCTGCCCAGTTAACTTTGAAAAATAAAAGGGAAGGAAAACAGAAACAGGGGAAGTTTGAGCTGATTGGCCACAAAACTGTAAGATCAGATCATGATCTTGTCCTTTAGAACTGCTGAAGGGTTTGCTCAAAATGTTTTTGCTTGGGAAGGAGGAATGGGAAGGTTTAACAATGTTAAACCTGGCTGAACTTTAAACCTGATTTTCACTTGCAGCTGATGGAACGTGGGATGCTCTGTGCCCTGTGCTCTGTGGCTGTCTCTGTGTGACGGGACAGGGACAGCTCTCCATGGCCTAAATATTTGGGCAATGACTTCAGTGGCACAGCCCAGATCCTGGCAGTGCTGCTGCCATGAGAGCTCAGATGAGCCTTTCACCCTCAGCACGTGGCAATTGCTACTCAGAAAAACTCCTCCCTGATTTT